GGGTAGCCTTTAATAAATGCCTTGAATGGTAGGGAGCATTTAAGAGCAGGGATAAGAACTTTCTGGCATATTAGAGGCACTCAGATAATATTTGTGGAAAGAATGTCAGGCTGAGTTTGGAAGTGGAAGGAACATGGCCAAGTTGTTGGGTGGCCATTGCCGTTTGGTGAGGGTAGAGCTCATACAGCTCTGGTGGTACGGTGACAGCAGAAGCCAGGAGGGCTTAGGCACCAGGCTGAGGCAGCGGTGACTGAGAGGAGTCAGGGATTACTGTGGGCCTTAGAGGTCAGGGGAGGCGTCCTCGTGGAGGGGGCCTTGGACAGAGCCTGGAAGGACCCGTTGGATACGGGAGATGGGAGTAGGTAAGACCCAAGGAGGGGAGTGATGGGCAAAGGTCTAGAGAGGGAGCTGAGAGATGGTCATCCAGGAGAGAGGGGAGGGAGCACAGAGGGGAGCGGGCACAGAGGGGAGCAGGCCGATGCTCTGTCCACTGAGCCAAACCAGCTAGGGCTATCTGCAGTTTTTATTTTTATCGCTGAAGGGTTACTGGTCTTGGTGATACGAAGAGGAGAAAAATAAGGCAAGGGAAGAGGTGGAGGTGACTGCAAGCTTCCTAGCCTGGGAGAATGGTGACACCTGAGACAGAAGGGGGCCAGCTGGTGGGAAAGAGGGTGTGGGCAGAGGCTGGATGTGTCTGGAGCCTGTAGACTGGAGACTGCTCTCTATCCCCAGCCCTGCCCCTGACCTAGCCGGGAGACCTTGGGCCAATTTCTTTATCTCCAAGCTCCATTTTTTATCAGGAGGCCCCTCTGCCTTATGGCTCAAGCTCATCTCACACAGTGGCGTCATTAGTCCTGGGGCTCGGGCAGGGGGAAGGGTCTGGGCTGGAGAATTATGAGGGCGTTGCATGGAGGTGAGAGAAGAAACCGCCCAGTCCTCTTCCTTGTTTTCCTGGAATGTGGCCGAGGTCAGTGCTCCATTCTGGTAAGGCGGCACAGGGCTGGGTAGTTAATCTTCCTGAATTCACTGAAGGGAGATTGTCAGGGCAGGGAACTGGTCATTAGTGAACCCCTTACCTTCCTGCTTTCCTCTGCCCAACCACCACTCTCCAAGCCTGTCTTTGGGAAACTTATGGCTTTGGACCTTTAGAAATAGGGTCTTGCAGAGAAGACTTCCTGGCAGAGGAGGGCTTGGGCAGAGCTTGAGAAAGGACTGGAGGAAGGCTTTCCAGAGGAGATTGACAGGGAGTTAGGTTACAGAATTTAAAATAGTCCAGACAGAAGGCTAATGCTTTTTGAATACCTTGTGTGTGTACCAGCTCTGTACCAGCTTTCATGATCTTTGTTTCATAATCTTTCCATCATTTCTGCTCTCTATTATCCCATCTTACAGAAAAGGCAACAGGATTAGAGAGAGGAACTAATTTGTCCAAGGTCTCAGGGCAGCAAACACCCATTTCTACATTCTGCAAGAACTATATTCTGCTGGCTTTGGGGGAACCCAGGGAAAAAATAGAATGATTTGTCTTTATGATCCTCATTCCCAGTTAAGCACTTACTTGAAATGTGGTCCAGCTGCCATCTATACGGCAGTGTTCCAGGACAGTGCAGCATCTCAGAGACCGATGGAGAACTTGGAGCTCAGCGGCCCTCTTTTACAGATTAGGAAACTGAGGCCCAGAAAGGAGGAGGGATATGCCAAGGTGAGGGGCAGAATGGGAACGAGAGCTGGAAGAGTCTGTAGACTTTGAGATTTTTGGCTCTTTAAGGCCTCCCTGTGGAAAAGTTTGTTTATAGATGACAATGGAAACCTTTGTCAGGAGAGTTGGTCTGGGCAGGGTTGGATCTGAAAGGTCCTGTGTGTGTGTGTGTGTGTGTGTGTGTGAGCAGGGTTGGATCTGAAAGGTCCTCTGTGTGTGTGTGTGTGTGTGTGTGTGTGTGTGCTTTCTCTTTCCTTCACTATAACCTTAGATGCCTTTGAACCAGCAGGAAGGATTCCTTCAGACCAAAGGTTAAGACCAAAGGCATTTAACAGGTGGAAAGGGCATAGGAAGGAGGGGGAAGATCAGAAGCCACAGAAATAGAAGACTTAAACTCTAGGCTTGGCTAAATGGAATGTTCCAGGCCTGCAAATAATCTCTAACATTTATTGAATACTCATTGTGCCAGTCAATCTTTATGTCATTTTATGTAACTGCCATGACCTTTCCTTGAGGTGTAGGAGCTGTTTTGCTGTTCCCATTTTACAGATGAAGGAACTGAGGCTCAAAGAGGCTGAGAGACCTACCTAAAGCCACAGAGTTAGTAACACATAGAGCCAGGACTCCAACCTCACCTCCTAAGCTTTTTGGAGGATTGGGAGCTCCAGGTGTCTTCGGTAGTAGTTCTTGGCCACAGGCAATTTTACCCCTAGGGCACATTTGACAATGTGTGGAGACATCTTTGATTGTCACAGTTTAGGGGATGCTACTGGCATATGGTGGGTAGAGCTACCAGTAGCATCCCCTAAACGTCTTACAATGCACAGGACAGCCCACAACCAAGGGGTACCCCATGACAAATGTCCGTGTGCTGAGGTTGGGAAACCCTGCCCTCCAGGGACCTGGTTATATTTTTACCTCTGTGTGCAGGGCTAGTGCAAGGGCATCTGGAAAGCCCATCTGAGGAACTTGAGTTGTTCCTTTAGCTCCAGAGACTTACCATTATGTTGTATGTTAATGAATGTTTGCAGTGTGGGCTCCTCGCAGACTGAGTTCTGCGGGGCCAGGGTGGTGGTAGTGGTGGGTGGAGGCCAGGAAGGCGTGTCAGGCCAGGGTGGCTCAGGGCTGCAGACGAGCTGGACAGGTGGTGACGGGTGTGCGGGGTCCTGTCCAGGCTGCTGCGAATTGACTTGATTGTTTCTCTGTGTGTGACTGAAATAAGAACTTAGATCCAGTTAATCGTCTATTTTTTTCTTCCGTAAATGCCTCTACTAAGTGATTGCTGTGACCAGGCACCATGGAAAGGCCTGAGAAAGGGGTACGCATGATACGGATGTACTTGGATTCAACTATGCTGCTGGCCCAGCGCCTTTGCTGCTAGTTACTGTTTAACTCGAGTCTGCCCCATGCCACTTAGGGCAGAAAGACAAACAAATTTGGGAAAGTCCCAGGACTTGGCCTTCACTTGAGCTTCTGCGAGCAGCTTTATCTGAGCATTGCAGTGGTTGAATAGGTCAGATCGAGTAGCCCCGTGGCCTGAAGGGCGCTGCTGGGGCAGACCTGAGGGAGGAATTGCTTTACCACCTCTGCTCTTACTGCAGGCCCCTCTTCCAGGTCAGACACGGAAAAGGAGTGTCTGCGCCCTTTTCTCTCGTGGAGTACATCACCAGGTAAGATTTTTAGCCTCAGTAGTAGCCTTCCTTTTGCCATCCTGTGGCCCTCCCTTCCAAATTTTCTACCATGGTGCCTTTCGAAACCCTGTTGGCCTCACTGGTGGGAACAATCACCCACTTCCTGTCCATCACCTGGGCCCCACCCCGAGACCTCCTTCTCGAAGCTCTCTAGCCACTCCAACTTCAGGGTCACCTCCCTCCTCCAGACACCTCTGCCCAGTGACTCCTTTGGTCCTTTATCTAGTTCTTAGGTTCTCAGTGTCACCTTCTGACCTCTGCAGTGGCTCAGTCACTAACCGGCTGTGTGCCCTTGGGTGAGTGAGTCACTTAACCTGGGAGAAGCAACACAGTGTTGCATCAGGTGACTTCAGTGCCCGTCCAGCACCAATGTCGGATGAGAGTCACAGTTGTAGAACCTGGCCAGTGGGAATTCATGCTTCCCTTTGATCCTATACAGATTCATGAGAGCTCAGAATTGGTGTAAGGACACTGTTTTCAGACTAAATAAGTGAACTTTTTCATATTAATTCTTTACTCAATAAATGTTTGTTGAGTGCCTGCTATATCCAAGGGGGTGTGATGGGATCAGCAGGGCTGGAAGATGGGTGTCTTGGGCTTTGCCTTCAAGGAGCTCACAGCCTTGTGGGTTGGGGGTGAGGCGTCTGTACAAAAGCACCACAGGGTAGATTCTCTAACTTATCACCCTGTGCCCATCCTTGGTACCAGCTGTCACAATTGTACACACACACACACACACACACACACACACACGGATTAAAGTTCCTTAGAGGTGGACTTTTTTCAGTCTTCTTCATTAATTGCCTAACGTAATGAGCAGTCAGTAAAGATTTGTTAAATGAATGCAATAAAGACTGGTACCATTTGACTTGGGATTTGAAGGGAACATAGGAGTTAGACCTGCATAGATGGAGAAAGGCACATTACAGACTGGCCAGGGATGGGGAAGGACAGAGGCAGGAGGAGGAAATGGCATGAGCAAATGCACAGGGGTAGTGAAGCCCGAGGCATGCAGGGTAACGGCCAGACCATGGGGGTTGGATCATGTGGTATGGTCAGGATGCAGAAAGTGGAAGGTAAGCTGGGCCAGATGGTGGAGTGTCTTGAATTCAAGCTTATCCCAAAGGGACTGGATTTGTCCTACCGTAGAATGACCTCACATTCCAGTTTCTCAGGGTGATTATGAATAGTGCCCCGTTCACTCTCAAGTGTCCCTATTTGGGTGATCAGTTATATGATTCTGCACCCCTGAAGGCTGTGTGGAGCCCTGAGGGTTCCTAATGGGACATGGTCAGGCTGACCGCTGGGAGGCTGGAGATGAGACATTCTCTAGTCCCCGTGTTTCAGGCCTGAGCCCGAGGAGCGGTAGTGTGAAGGGAGGAGATGGTTACAAAGGAGACTAAAGGCCAAAGTGCCAACATCTCTAAGAGGCTCCAGAGCAGCTCTTCCAAAGAAAGACCCGTCCTAAAGCTCGGGCATCCTGGAGACGCGTTTTTCTAACTTGAGTTATGACTGATGAGAAAAAGAATACATGTGTGTATCTTCTGAGCAATTAAAAGTCAGAGGAGCTTCGCCCAGTCTCTGAAACGTCCTGGTGAGACACCCTGGCATTCACTCTCCTAAACCCCAGCATTGTTCCCTGGAATTTAAAATAGGTTATGAATGTGCCTGATGTCAGGAGAGATAAATCTGTGAGGAGGACTGTAGTCAATACATTTCCTTTTTAAGAAGAAACAATATAAAGAGCTTGATTCAGCCCGGAATCAATCTCACTTTGTTGCCATGATTGTGTAAAACCTGAACTGCTTTCTGTCTGTCACACTGTTTATATCCCCGACGTTCCCCATCTCAGCGGCCGCGCGGAGTCCAAGCCTTTTTAGGCCATGCATGCGCTCCTCTCGCGGCTGTTTCCTTGTGCGCTGCAGAAGGGTTGTGCTGTGAGCGGTGACTTCATTGACTATCTAGGGGTGCTCTTCAGGGTGGCTGTTCAGTAGTGCTCCAGAGGAACTTTTTTTTTGGTCCAAGAGAGTTGGAAGGCTAAATTCTTGGGCTTTTTTTTCTTCCTATTAAAAAGATAGTTACATTTTCAAATAGTTGATACAGATGGTTCAGAAATCAAAACACTATAAAAATCTATGCATGGAAAATTTTCATTGTCACCCCCTGATGTCTACTCCACTCCCTCCCCCAACCTGGAACCCATTAGGTGGGCTGAACATACATTCCAGTGTGCCCATGACAGTCCCAGTTTATGTTCTTTGTGCCAGTGGGTGATCAGTAACACCCTCTCCCATTCTCAAAAGTGTACCTAATTAGGTGATAAGTGATACATTCCCCTACAGATTGATAATCACTTTTATTAATTTTTTGTATATTCCTCTAATATTTCTATATGCAGACACACACATAAAGTGAGGGGTGACTGACATTGCCTTTGCCATTTCACAGTAGGTCCTGGAAGACCATACCCATAGAAATGGAGTGTCCTCGTCCTACTAGGCTCTCCGGCTAGCAGTGTTTGTAGAGACTGTCAGGCAGTGTCTTTTCCTTGGTTTATCAGTTTAATTGCTATTTAGGAGTGGCCTCTGTTTACATAGGGAGAAACAAAAGGCTGTGGGAAATGAAGCCAGTTTCCTTCACTTAGGAAAGCCAGTTCAGTAGTAAACTCATCCAGAAAGAACTTATTAAGCACCAGTTTTCTGCCTAAGATGGTACTAGGCAGGTTGGATGAAGGGGGCAAGTGCTTCAAGATTCAACTCAGATGCTCAGCCTTCATGAAGACTTCCCTGATTCCATGGCCACAATTCTTAGCATCCCTGTCCATCCACTGCCCATTCATCCAACCACTATCCATTTCATCAGCCAGCATTCCTGGTGCTTCCTTCCATTCACTGAGTACAACCGGCATTCCACAGGGGCTAGGACAGCCGTGGGCAAACTACGGCCCGCGGGCCGGATCCGGCCTGTTTGAAATGAATAAAACTAAAAAAAAAAAAAAGACCGTACCCTTTTATGTAATGATGTTTACTTTGAATTTATATTAGTTCACACAAACAATCCATCCATGCTTTTGTTCTGGCCCTCCGGTCCAGTTTAAGAACCCATTGTGGCCTCGAGTCAAAAAGTTTGCCCACCCCTGGGGTAGGACCTGTGCTAGAGACATGGAGATGGACAAGATGAGCTCCTGCTGTAGGAGACAGAGACGCGAGTGAACGGGCGATGATTTATCTAGGCAACTGTATCCTGCAAAGGCCTCTCTAAATCAGTGCCTGTCCCTCCCTTCAATCTTTTCCCCATGCTAAGTGGTCTCTGTCCCCCCTCCATCCATTACCATGGCCATGGTAAGAAACCTCCTAACTCTGACTGATGTTGAAAAGAAAGCTATGTGAAGGGGAGCCCCAAGTCCCACCCTTGGGTGTTCTTGGTTTCTCCCTTGGAAGGAGGGGTGTGGGTATTTGATATTTCAAACCCAGTGATTTCAGGAATCAGCCTGGTGGCTCAGCCAGCTCCTTCTTTTATCTTCTAATAAATACAGCTTCCCTTGCAGTTTCCTGGTGCCGCAGAGGGTGATTGGTCCAGGATAAGAAATAGCCAGGCCAGGAAAGTGACCTTTTAATAAAGTTGAAAGGGCCATTGGGAGAGCCAGGATGGCCAGATGTATGGCTGTGAGCCACTCCGGCCTGTGCCATGTCACCGAAAGAGGCCCAGGTATGACTCTGGCTGTAGCTGCTGAGGAAAGGAGTAGTCGGGTTGCAATGGAAGAGGGTTCTGGCTGAATGTTAGCAGATGTTTTTCTACAACAGTGCAGAGCAGCCTTTTGTGGGAAGAGGTGAGATTTGTTTGACAGCCACACTCCCCTCAGTTCCCCTCATCTGTTCTTCCTGCAGTAGCTTTTCACAGGAAATAGGCAGATGGATGGTGTTTCTCTGGAAAGTCCATTTTGGACCAGTGCTTAGAGTGTCGACTGTGTGCCTGGCCCCACTGGGTATTTCTACCTTCCATTAAAGCAGTGGTTCTGAAACTGTGGGGACCCCCACAGTCAGTTAAAAATGCATATTACTCCCTAGTGGGACCCAGTAATCTGTATTTTTAACATGTTCTGTAGGTTCTATCCGGTTATTTTAAGCTACAAGGAACAAACTCCAACTCGGATTGGCTGACAGGGAACATCACTGTCTCTCAGACAACTCCATGACCCATCATGTGGGCTGCAGTGGGAATTGTGTCCCCTGAGGTTGTGCAGTGGGCGGTTCTGAACCCTGAGATAGGGCAGGCTTCGGGATTGATAGCTTCAGTGGCTTCATGATGTCAAGTCCCAGGTTCTTCCCACCTCTGCCATCTTGGTGATAGCCTCGTCTGCAGGCTGGGAATAAGATGACTGGCATTTCCAAGCATCTCAGACACACTGCCATCCAGAGGAGGAAGGGGGACGTAGATTGATTTCTGGCTGAGCCATATCCATGATGCCTCCTTGGCTGGAGCTGGGTCACATGCCCTGAGCCAGTCACTGAAGGTGCTTTGCTTTGGGAGCTGTCTGGGGAAGGGGTGGGCACCCTAGCAAAGTGGAGGCTCTGTTAGGAGGAAGGAAGGAAGGAAAGAAGGAAGGGGACTGGGAGCTGGGAAGGCAACCATGGCCCCAGTGCACAGGTGGTTTGCAGACCACACGCCAAGGTACACTGCGTCACGTCGTCCCGAGCAGTGGTAAGGTTATCTCTGTTGTGCAGATGAGGAAATGACACTCACTGAGCTTCAGGGACTTGTCTTAGATAACACACCCGGAGGTTGTGCGGGTTGGGAGTGAGGGAACGGGTGTTTGTGAGGCCTTTTAGCCTTGGGAGAGCAATCCTCCCTTTCTCGTCTTCCTAAGGTCTCCAGGCAGCCCCTTCATTTCTGATTTCTCCTCCACGACTGCGGTTATTCATGACAGCAGGTCTTCCTGAGTGTTTCCTAGGGGAAGGCTTCTCCAGGCATAAGAAAAA